ACCAGCAGCATCAAATGTTGATCGAAAAACTGCCTATTGATATGGTGTATCAAGTTGGGTTAGGTTACATGCATATTATTTGGCTTGGCGTGACAAGGACTCTACTGAAAGCATGGATACAAAAAAACGGGGTACATTTTTCTCTTACTTCATGGCAGATTACTTTCTTCTAAATTAATAAATCTGAAAAACTGTATTCCACACGAATTTATGAGGAAGCCACGATCTTTAGATGATTTAAAGAGATGGAAAGCCACTGAACTCCGCCAGTTTCTATTATATTACGGACCTTTTTTGTTGCATTCTGTTTTATCTGAAGAAAGATATTTAAACTTTATGAAATTATCAATAGCAACTAGGATATAATTAGAAAAAAAGAATAGTCAAATAAATAACGCATTTGCTCAAAATCTTTTGCTGAGTTTTGTAAAAGATATCCCTTCACTGTACGATTTAAGTTTCCTAACATCTAATTTCAATTATTTACTTCATATCAATACGGACGCTAATAAATATGGAAGCTTGGAAAGCATTAGCGCATTCAGGTTTGAAAACCATCTTCAAAAAATAAAAAAGCAAGTAAAAAAATGTAATAATGTAGCTGCCCAGCTCTATAATAGGCAAGTAGAAAAGAGTTTAACATTAAAATGAATAAAAACAGTTTCAGATATATATTGTAAGCATCCTGATACCAGCTTTGAGTGCTATAAATTTGTGAAAACCCTAAATTTCTTATTTTCAATTGAGGAACCGAATAATTTCTGTTTTGTTGGCGAAAATATTATAAAAATAACTAGAATAAGTAAAGTTGATGATTTTCCTAATTTTAAAGGCAAAATATTAAAAAATTTGAAAGCACTTTTTAACCAACCGATTGCTTCAAATAAACCAAAAATGTATAAAGTAAACGAATTGACTGAAGGGGACGAAATTACTTTCTCTCTTAAAGAAATTTTGAACAAGGCAATAATTCTGGAAAATAAAATAAGCCCTTCGTTTGTTATTTTCCCATTTTTAGAATAATGGCTGCTCAAACGTTTGGTAAGATTTCTACAATTATTTAAAGAACTTCATTGAATTAAAATAATTTCTACCCTACTTTCGTTTCAGATTCCCTTCAAATGAAAAAAAAAGAGAATCAATATATCGAAGTTTCAAATATTTCACAAGGTATACATTTCTTTACATCTTATACTTTATAAAATATACATACGCTGGCTCCATCAAATAACTGGACAGCCCAAAAAAGGAAATTATTTTCTTAATTTTCACAAGGTTTTTATTGTGTCCGGTTATTCGGGGGAGCCACTGTATGTTCATAGTTAAATTTTTATTATATTTTATTTATGAATTAAAATACCTTTGTTTTAGATTCTCTTCAAAATGAAGAACAGATTCAATACATCGAACTATCAAATGTTTCACAGGGTATACATTTATTTACTTCTTATGCTTTCACTTAATACATATACAAAATACAAATATGAGCGTACGGCTCTTTTTTGTTAATATTTGCACATTATTATACTAAAATTTAATGGGCTATAAAACTGCATACCCGTTTTTTTTAAAAATTCGTATTAAAAAGTTTGCGATTTTGTGAAACTTTGCAGATTTTTCTTAATTTTCGGACACAGTATCATTCTTGGATTTAAATAGGGTTTGCCATTAGCCATATTTTAATACAAAATTAACAAAAAGATTTTGCATGTAAAACCTTGCGAATATTAATAAAAAAGAGCCGTACGCTCAATTTTGTAAGTAACAGTATGTACATATCGTCACCTGAAATGCAAAAAGACGTAACAGACAGTGTAACTGAAATGGAAAAAGTCATGACTAAAAATTTTTATTTTTTTCATTAAATGATGTGGGAGTTGTAATTTGATGAAATCAATCATATCATCAAAAACTGAATTTCGAATTTTTTATTGCTTACGACGTTTTGAATTTAAGGGAGGATGTTTGTTACGTCTTTTTGCATTTCAGGTGACGATATATTAATATTTATATTTATTTTATGTTTACTTATAGTTAACCACAATGATACGAACATAAACACCGCTAAAAATAACATTTTAAAAAAGGTTCGTGAAATAAAAGAGCAAATGCAGAAAAGTGAGGAGTCAAACAAAAAAATTGTTACCAAGTTAACCGAGGAAATAATATCGTTAAGGACAGAAGTAACGCAATTAAAAGCACGCGACTTGTTTGAAACAGACAGCTCACTATTGCCATCCTTGCCATTTTGGAAATTAACTACTTTAAAGGATTTTGACGAAAAATTGTTTTTAGACGACAAGATGAGAGCTCAGTTGGTAGGCGAATCTTATTTCAGCTTGTGTGCTTATGATTTTAATAAAACATTGGCTTTATTGATTGCAGAAATGCGTGGTACAAAAAATTGGAGGAGAAGAAGTTCCTGTATTCGTATATTTAGCGTTAAAACAAATTGAGTCGGATGAGTTGGCAATTAATTTAACTTGGCGTGGAACATCGGAGAAGCCAAGCATACAAAACTTTACAGTTTTTGTCATCATAAAAGGTTTAAAATAGTATATGTTTGTAATTAGCAATGCTTATATATAACTAAGATTCATTTTTTTATTTTTCCCAGACACTCCAAGTTCCAAAATTCGACAGATTTAAAAATTAAGAAAATTGTCCAACAACATACACGCCAGGGATAGAGTGCTCAAATGCAAACTTTCAAGTGAAAATACACGCGGAAATTTACGCCTCTGCAATTAGTTCCTTAACTCGTAAACTTAACTAAATAATGTTAACAAATTATACTTAACTATTTAAAAATTTTAAATAAACTCTTTGTCTTGTTTCTAATGTTAATGAAAGTAAAAAAAAAATTAAACAAATATATTTGCATTTTTTACATTGAGCTAAAAATAAAAAGAGAAACCTCCAAGTGTAGTTTTTTACGTCACGTTTCAGCGTCTCCCAGACGACACTAAGAAGTTACTTTCGGAAGCGTCGTATGTAAGTATGTTTGGATGTACAGCTTTTGTCTATTCCAGACGGATCTAAGAAGTTACTTTCGGAAGCGTCGTATGTGAGTAGGTTTAGATATACCGCTTTTGTCTCTTCCAGACGACACTTGAAGTGACTTCTTCCTGTAGTGTCGCATGTGTGTCAGTGTGGACGTAACGCTTACGGGGAACAGTTTTTCCCGAAAGAGGATAGTAAAAAGATGAGAAAGCGATAACTTCCGCGATGAAATTTAACCTCTTGAAGTTACTTTTTCGCCACTTCCGCGATAATAAATACTGGCAGGGTACATGTTTATCCGTACAAATCGCGTGCTGTGGTGTTGATGGATATTCAACATTTGAAAGCAAATTTATATGTCTGGGTGTAGCTGAGTGCGCAAAGATGCTTGCCACAAGTTGTTGATATCCGGAGATTGTCGGGTTCGAATTGCACTGCAGGCAACATGTAAATTAAATTTATTTTTATTTTTTAGTTTTTGTCTTGATTATTCACTTCACGGATGCTTTTTCAGTACGAACGCGGTCATTTTAATATGCGCGTAATTTAATTGAATATTTACCAATATACAGTACTTTCGTTGAGGTTTATAGTAAGATCAATTACGTTTCTATTTGATTTTAATATTTTATCAGTTCGTCGGAATATTTTTTTTTTGTTTATGTATATTGCCGCATAACTTTGGACCACGTCAACCGATTGCGATAATTTTTTTTTGCATCGGAAAGTAGTGTCTCAGAGGTGGTCCCATACTAATCTAGTTAAGATCCGATCAGTGGATCATGAGATATATATATATATTTTTTTTTTATATGAGAGTGTTTAAAGTCAGGAGACTATTTTGTCTTGACTGTACAAATGTCTTTATTCAACAGAATCCAAAATTTGAGCGCTCAAAAAACTTTACTGTGCATGTAATTTATACTACTTAAATATTGTTTGTTCGAAGTATGTATGCATATGCTGGCTTGAATACAAAACAGGAGTTTAGATAACTAACAGTATTTCAAATTGCTTTTTAGTTTGAGAGAACAAATGTTGAATGGATAAAAGCTTAACTATGTACATATGTGCGTCGGCATATTAGGGTGGCACTTAGAGGCTCTTCACAAAACATCTTCCCGCCGTTGAAAGCCAACGCTTTCAACAGGATTTTCCACCGGTAGAAGGCATAACTTGCTGATAGCTCTTTTTGTAACGCCAGTGCTTGTTTTCAACACTGTCACCCGAGCAACGCTGTCTGATCCAGGAGTCGTTTCAATTACTCTTGCGAGTGGCCATCGAAGCGGTGGTAAATTTTCGTCCTTTATTAAGACAAGAGCGCCGAGAGGAATTGGAGTCTTTTAAGCACGCCATTTAGACCGCTGTTCAAGCTGCGTCCGATACTCTGTCGACCACTTCTTCCAAAAAATTTGCTGCATACTAGATATACGCTGCCAAAGGCTAAGACGGTTAATGTTTAGGTGGGTGACATCTGGATCAGGAATCGCAGTTAGGGGGCCACCTATTAAGAAATGGGCTGGTGTAAGAACATCAAGGTCATCTAATGTGCTCTGTAATTGGAGTTAAAGGTCTCGAATTAAGGATTGCTGAAATTTGACAAATCAAAGTACGTAGTTGATCGTACGTTAGAATTGACGACCCTACAACTCTGTTAAAATGATATTTTGCTGATTTAATGGCGGCTTCCCATAAGCCACCGAAGTGGGGTGACCAAGGTGGAATGAATTTCCAGTCGATCCCATCATCTAAACATTGCTGCCGTACCATTCGCTGGTGGTCCGCGAGCTCATTATTCGCTCCAACAAAGTTGGTGGCGTTATCCGACCAGATAGTTTTGGGCTTTCCACGTAGACTTACGAATCGTTGTAAAGCAGCTAGAAACGCAGACGTTGATAAATCCTTGGCTAGTTCCATGTGGATCGCCTTGGTAGCGAAACAAATAAATAAACATATATAACACTTCGTGGGAGGCCGGTTTCGAACTTCAGCGTTATAATAAAATGGGCCACAGAAATCAACCCCAGTGGTTAGAAATGCACGCGCTGCCTGCACCCTTTCTTTGGGCAAGTCAGCCATAATATGCTCCATAAGCGGAAACACAAAATACATTTGTTGACTACATATGATACCGTTTTGCGTCCACCTATGGGCCAGTAATGTAAACGAATAGAAGCTAGGAGAGCTTGTGGTCCAGCATGTAATAGTTTTTTGTGAAAATAATTTATTATAGAGACGGTCAGCGGATGCCGTTTTGGAAGCAAGATGGGGTGACGTGAGTTGAAATCCAAACCCGCATTTTTGAGTCGCCCTCCGACACGAAGTAATCCAAAATCGTCCAAGAATGGTGATAACGAAAAAAGAGAGCTGGATGAACAAATCGGTTGTTTTCGTTGGAGTGTGGTATACTCGGTAGAAAAGTGAACTCTTTGAATCATTCGTAAAAGATAGAAGGTTCCTTTCTGAATATGTAACGTCGACAAAATGCTTGAGTGATCTTTACTGAGGAATTGGTACACATAGCCATAAATACGTTGCATTGTAGCGAATGAATTTATATACTTGCAGTCAGAAGACATGTCGAAAAATGCATGCGTTGAAAGTAATATACTTTTACGCATCTCAGGTAGACCTTTTACTTGCGCACATGACGTTGGCCAGTGGTTGATGGTTGAGATAAAAATGATGGGCCATGCTTCCATAACGATGATTTGAGCAGCTCCGTGGCGGTAGAACCTCTCGATAATATATCTGCTGGGTTGAGCGGTGATGGAACATAACGCCATTCCATTCCCTTTGTAAGCTGTTGGATACTGCTTACTCGATTTGCAACAAAAACATTAAAGCGTAAAGGTTCCTCCTTCAGCCATGACAGAACTATACTGGAGTCAGACCAGCAGTAAAACTTGCAATCGAAAATGTCGAGCTTTGAAATTGCTTGCACAACTTGTGCATGTAATGTGGCAGCACTAAGCTCCAATTTCGGTACGGTGAGTGTTTTGAGAGGCGCGACCCGAGATTTTGAGCAGAGAAGAGAAGTTTGTGCTTTGCATTTATTGATCGAACGTATATACACACATACTCCATATGCCGAGATGCTAGCATCGCAAAATGCATGTACTTCGTTTGTAGCGTCTGGCTTGGAAACGAAACGAGGAAAACAAACACCTTTGACTGACTCAAGTTCATCATATAGCTGCTGCCAGGCAGTATTTTTTTTTTTTTTTTTTTTTTTAATTTGTTTTTATTTATTGAATCTGCCCTGCCTAAGAGCCTAACAATAAGTTTTCGAATCTTAATCTATTCACTTAATTTACATCCCCTAGTTGGGATGAGTATTTTCTTAACTGGCCCTAAGAAAAGATTACGACTGGGCTGGTAAGTCATTCCTACGTAGTCTTCAGGTCCTGTTGACACGCAATAAAGATCTTGCTAAATGATTTGGGTGCGCTAAAAGCTTCGATACATATTTCGTCTTCCGTTGTTCTATTTCGGTTCGTACTTCTGGTATTCTGAAGTCGCGGTGAATGTTCTCATTTCGCATATACCAAGGTGCTCCGGTGATTGTTCGAAGGATTTTAGATTGCGCACGACGAAGGATTTCGATGTTGCTGCTGCTCGCGTTTCCCCATAACTCACATCCATAGGTCCATATCGGTTTTAAAACTGTATTGTAAATAAGCACTTTATACTCCAGACTCAGGGGTGAGCGAGAGTTAATAAGCCAGTGGAGAGAATTAGCCTTCAGCTTGAGATGAGTCCTTTTAGCCACTATGTGGTTTCGCCAAGTAAGTCGCCTGTCCAGGTGGACCCCTAGGTAAGTGACATGATTGCTTTGTGGTATTTGTACGTTGTTTAAAGTCAAGGGCGGACAGTTACTCTTATTCAGTGTAAATGTAACTTGCTTACATTTTTGCTCGTTAACCTTTATTCGCCAGTTTGCGAGCCAATTGGCAACAGCTTCCATATGATTGCCTAGGAGCACAGTTGCTTGTAGAGGACACTTGGAGCGACTGATTATGGCAGTGTCATCGGCAAAAGTGGACATTATCAGGCGGTCGTTTGTAGG